CCCACGGGCACCCGGCCCCGCTGCACGCCGTGGCGGTGAGCGAGAGCGGAGGGAGATGGGGCTCTGGTTTTTTCCGCCTTGCCGCTAGCGCGCTCTCGCCCTCCTCTCGTGTTGCAGTGCAGGTTGGCCAGGCAGCGGGCAAACAGCTCGCAGGGAGGAAAAAAAGAGGAGCCTGGAGGAGCCGGGGCTTTGCAGATGCTCCTTTCAAGCCCCCAGCAGCTTGCTACCTTCTTGGTGTTTTTTCCAGGCGATGCCACACCTCCCGAGGACACTGGGGACATCGGGGTTTGCTGAGCTTAGCATCTTTTCACCGGCGTACCGAAGGCATCAGACAGACGCTCATCTGCCCTGAAGTGCAGATCTGCAATCGCTACCGAGAAGACTCTGTCTCTCTGTCTTTCTGTCTCTCTTTCTCTCTTTCTCCAGTCCAAACCATTACAAGACCTGACTTCCACCATCTGGGAAGCTAACCCCTTTATGTCCCTTCTCCTTTTTCTACGATGACTCACCATTATTTTTAACTTTGAAGCGAGAGGAAATTATGGGGATCTTGGAAGCCTGTATTTCTCTCTAGGATTTCCCCAGGGTCAGATAATCGGTGTTACTAAGAGACACTAAGATTTGGCTTCTCCAGGTAATGTGATTTGTTTTCTGTGTGCCATGGTGGTTTGCAGAGAATGACAGGAGCCGGGACACCAGCGGTCGAGGAGGGGGACTGCAGTGGTCCGCGGGGCAGTTTGCATCGGCGGCTGCAAAATTCAGGCAGCGGCCAAGGGTGCCTGGCTGGCTGCAGGCAGGGAGGGCAGCATGTCGCCTCGCCTCCGTCTGGCCAGGGCAGGAGGATTGGGAAGGTGTCGAACTTAAAACCGGACTTAGAGCTTTCCTAGAGGGTAGCTTGCCTGAGATTGCACGGTTAAATGTTAACCCTTACCTGCATGCCTGGGAATGAGCTGAGCCTGGTCTGCCTCTCCCCAGCGCCCCGTCGGGTCCCATCGCCACTTTGGGGCTGGATGGGGTTATTTTTCTTCCTGCCTTTCTCTTCCCTTCCCCTCTCCTTTTTTAAATTTTTTTTTTTAATTGGAATTTTTATTTTTAGCCCTCCCCAAAAGTTCTGCTTTACCAATGCCAGTTTTTTCCACGCTGGTTTTGAATAGGTGAGGGTTCCTCAGGTGCTTTCCCTCTTCCACCTAATGGGTTTAGATGGGAGTTTGTGAACTCTGTCCCAAAGGCGGCAAATTAACGCCCCCGAGGAAGGGGATAGACAAGCTAGTGAAGGGAGCTGCTCTCCTCCCCCCCGACTTTATTTCATCTCTCTCTTTCTCAGCAGGGGCAATTTTCTTTCCTTTTTTTTTTTTTTATTATTATTTTCTCTTTTTTTTTTTTTTATCATCCCTTCGCCTTTTCATGAGACACTTCCAAACCTACGTACCTGTCCTTCTGCAGGATAGTAGCCCTGCCCTGAATCCGATCCCACCACTGGGCACTGGGAAGAGCTTAGCATAAGGATTTCTTTTAAACCCCAATATGACAGTTGCTACCGGAGATCCTGCAGACGAAGCTGCAGCTCTTCCCGGTCACCCGCAGGACACGTATAACCCTGAGACCGACCATGAATGCTGCGAGAGGGTGGTCATTAATATTTCGGGTCTGCGTTTCGAGACACAGCTCAAGACACTAGCCCAGTTCCCAGAGACCTTACTAGGGGATCCTAAAAAGAGGATGAGATATTTCGACCCGCTCCGAAACGAGTACTTCTTTGACCGGAACAGACCCAGCTTCGATGCGATTTTGTACTATTACCAGTCTGGCGGGAGGTTGCGGAGGCCGGTTAACGTGCCCTTAGATATCTTCTCAGAAGAGATTCGTTTCTATGAACTGGGGGAAGAAGCAATGGAGATGTTCCGGGAGGATGAAGGCTACATCAAAGAAGAGGAAAGGCCGTTGCCTGAGAACGAGTTTCAGAGACAAGTGTGGTTGCTCTTTGAGTACCCTGAGAGCTCAGGCCCTGCCAGGATTATAGCTATCGTCTCTGTCATGGTGATTTTAATCTCCATCGTCAGCTTTTGCCTGGAAACGTTGCCCATTTTTCGGGATGAGAATGAAGACATGCATGGCAGTGGGCTGAGCCATCCCCCCTACTCCAACAGCAGCATGGGGTACCAGCAGTCCACCTCTTTCACAGACCCCTTCTTCATCGTGGAGACACTTTGCATCATCTGGTTCTCCTTCGAGTTCTTGGTGAGGTTTTTCGCCTGCCCCAGCAAGGCTGGGTTTTTTACCAACATCATGAACATTATAGACATCGTAGCCATCATTCCCTATTTCATCACCTTAGGGACAGAGCTGGCCGAGAAGCCAGAGGATGGGCAGCAAGGCCAGCAAGCCATGTCCTTGGCCATCCTTCGAGTCATCCGCTTGGTGCGGGTCTTCAGGATCTTCAAACTCTCCCGACACTCCAAGGGGCTGCAGATCCTGGGGCAGACTCTCAAGGCCAGCATGCGGGAGCTGGGCCTCTTGATATTCTTCCTCTTCATCGGTGTCATCCTCTTCTCCAGCGCCGTCTACTTTGCCGAGGCCGACGAGAGCGAGTCCCAGTTCCCGAGCATCCCCGACGCCTTCTGGTGGGCCGTGGTTTCCATGACGACTGTTGGCTATGGAGACATGGTCCCCACGACCATCGGGGGGAAAATAGTGGGTTCCTTGTGTGCCATCGCTGGCGTATTAACGATTGCCTTACCAGTGCCCGTCATAGTGTCTAACTTCAATTACTTCTACCACCGGGAGACGGAGGGAGAGGAGCAGGCTCAATATTTGCAAGTAACCAGCTGCCCAAAGATCCCCTCTTCCCCTGACCTAAAGAAAAGCAGAAGTGCCTCTACTATTAGTAAGTCTGATTATATGGAGATTCAGGAAGGCGTAAACAATAGCAATGAGGATTTTAGGGAGGAGAACTTGAAGACAGCCAATTGCACCCTAGCTAACACAAACTATGTGAATATCACCAAAATGCTAACCGATGTCTAGTCGCTAAAATCTAGTACCGTATTTAAAGCTGAAGTGGAACAATTGCAGATATTGAGTGCTGCTCTGCATTGTAGTTAATACAGTATTTTCTACGGTGTATATTTGGTTCTGCATGGGAAGCAATAGCTGTGTAAGTGACTTTTAACCTTTGATTTCCACACTGAATAAGCATTCGTGCAAAAAAAAACCACAACCAACCAACCAACCAACCAACCCATTTCGTTTCCCTTCTCCCATCCCAGGCTTGCGGGTTTCCAAAGTTACGGAATGGATGGGCATTTCGCATCAGGATGGGGATGCAGGGGGGCAGCTCCGGGCCAGCCCCGGGTACCACGAATGCCGGTCCCTGTCCGGCGGAGCTGGGTGACAGCCAGCTTCCAGGCGTGGGGAACGGCTGGGAAAGGTCAGGCAGAGCTTAATGAAGGGAAGATGCAGTCGTGTGTCCGAATCGCTTGAAGGCTCGGGTTTCCGTCCCGGGAATGCCAAGTGCGAACGCATCGCCCAGGCTCGTGTTTCATAACTGAAAATGCTGCATGCTGCAATAGTTTCAGCCACTGCAGTATGCCAGTGTGAGGCCCAGGGGAGGGATAATTAGTATGACGGCACATTATTTATTAAGTCTTAAATTCTCTACGCTAGGCATCGGGAGGGACGAGTAAATAAATCAAGCGCTTGGATTTTATTTATTTATTTAGATGACACTTCCATCACCAATATTCCCAGGATCACCAAAGACACCTCCGCTGACACATTGAAAATGAGTTGGAAAAAGCATCTTTTTTTATATCTATATATAAAACTGGAGCAACTATGCTGTGGCCTATAACATATTTATACTGCAGTGAAATTTAACCAGTAATACAGTACAGCTGCATGGATATTTGTTGCATGAATCTGAATATTTAATACACACACAAATATATATTTTCTTAGTAGACTATACAGTATTCATGTTTATAGTGTTTATAGATTCTCCGGTGGCTCGAAGGAGATTCATGGGAGTTAAAAAAATCTCCATTATATTTAAAAACTGGACGGGGAAGGCTTGTGCTGACAGTGGTTTGATAGATAACGAGGCAAAGCCTGAGTGTCCGAGCATCCAGACACGAGAGCTAAATGCGAGCGAGGAGGGAAGGTGAGCTGAAAGTTAAACACCTGCACTCATTATAGGGCCAGTAATTAGTCATTAATCTTGGTGTCATGGGCAGGAACCAGGGCGGATCAGGGAGGGCACGAGGAGCAGGTGGAATAGCAGGCACCGGCTCTCCCGACTTGTCTGTTCAGCGATGTTCAGCCGTTTCCCGTACAATTCTCGTGTGTGTGTATATAGATATTTAGAGAGCGACTGTAGGCCGAATCTGCAGCAAACGCGAGCGCTTGGGGCACCAGGGGCTTCCCGGCTCAGGGGTGTTGGGATGCTGGGATGTGGGCTGGAGCAGGACAGCTTGCCCCGGGGCTCCCGTGGGATCATCGGGGCAGGGTGCGGTTTTGGGCTGGAAAACTCCTTTTTGACCATGTAGAGCTTCAGGGCTGGTGGTTTATTTCCTTACGGTGGAGAGGGCACGCGCTGAGGGCTCTGAGCCTTTGCTTTGCCTTCTTCCAGGGTTTTTAGGAGGGGCGAGCCGAGGTGCAGAGACCTCAGGTTTGTCTCTGCTTCTTCTTGATCCCCGGTGTTATTCGGGCGTAGGTGGGAGCTGTCGCTCCAGTGGGATCTCATCGCTTTCCCCATCCCCGTCTGGATTTCCTTCTGTTTTCCCCCCATTGCCGACCATCTCTGGGGATGGGTGCCCGTTCCTCTGCCAGGTTAGGGCAGAGGAATGCAAACCTCTTCCAAGATCATGGTCAAGCAAAGCCTCCCCGGGGTGCGGGATGGGGTTTAGCAGCCTGTTGAGCCGGGGTGGACTGGGGCTGAACTGGGGCACGGTCAGTGCTGTACTGCTGCGGCGAAGGTGGGCATGAGGAGGGAAGCCCATTGCAGAGCGGGCGAGGGAGGGCAATCAAACCCTTCCTGAGAGGACGACCATACAAATAACAATAAAATAAACGGTGCTAGCGTATTCTACAGCAATGGCTCAAAATGCTGCTTTAGGGCCGGATCCGTCTCTCGTGCTGCTGTGGCTCCGCTCGGCCAGGTGGAATCACTCCTCATTTTTATTTCATCGATTGATTCAGGCCTGGTTATAATTAATACCAAGTGGCCATGGTTAGTGCACGAGAGTCCTGGCTGCTGCTTGGTGCAGAGGACCAGCAGCATCAACGCGTTGGGTCTCAAAGGTGCTCAGCACCACGCAGCATGGGGCCCCCGGCCTGTCTTTAATTACATCTCGTTATATTAGGAGCCCTCTCCTCCCTCTCTGCTGCTGCAGCTCTGAAATGGGAGCCCCTAAAGCTCGTTAGCATCTCAAACACACCCAAAAAGAAGCAACGCAACTGAAAGCAATAAATCTCCGCCTCTGAAGCTCGTCCTGTGGAATGGGATGGGGCTGGCGTGAGCCACTGGCTTGGGCGCCATTCCCAGGGTGGTTGGCCAGCTTCTATCAACCCGGCTTGCGGTGGGTCTGTCGGGGTGTGAGCTTGCATCCCAATCCCAAGCTGCCTGGTGCGCTGGGATTCTGCCCACCCTACCCATGGGTGCCCCTAGTACCGGGCGATCCTGTCCCTAGCATGCGGGGAAGCACTGAGGGCAGGTTGCTGCAGTTTTTTTGGGGATGATGCTGGCGTTTGATGAGACTTTGCAAAGTGCCTGGTTGTTTAGTGCCTGTGGACTTCAGATGATCTGGGGGGAGCGTTTGCCAAAGTAATGGGTGCATCCTGGGAGCTTGATCGCCGTTGTTGTTTGGTAAGGAGGAAGATTGTAGGGTTTTTTGGGAGAGGTGGTGTTTTGGGCATGGTGTCCCTGCAGGCTTTCCAAGGCCGGGCAGGAGCGGAGAGTGGGTCCACGAGCAGGATCCTGCACATCTGAACCCACTCACCGAGCTGGGGGGTCACGGCTGCCTTGGGAAGCTCCAGAGCTTTGTTGCAGGGATGAACAGGGCCAAAGAGCAAGAGGCCATGTTCCTCCTGTCATCACCAAAGTGAGCTGGCATCCGTCCCCATGGAGGGGGCCAGCACAGCCAGTCCTTTCCTTAGGATGCATCCTGCACCTCTTGCGTTGGCCCAGGCAGATGTTCCTGGGGAAAGCGAGCCCTGAGTGGGAGAGCATCTCTGGGATGCCCTTGGCACCATGTTTGGGAAATAACAAAAACACCCAGAGAAGCACTCGGTTGTTTGGTTCAGGGCACAAAAGGTCTGTGGGGGCCGTGGCTGGAAGCGATCCATCAGGCTGCACGAAGCAGAAGGGTCCAGGTTTCTCCCCCACGCGGAGAAATGGTTTCCCTATAGCTTTTAATGGGATTTGTGCCTGCAGGTCGGAGCTCTAGTGCTATTTCTAGCTTTGCTTCTGACTCACTGATGTGATCTTGAACCAGTTTTTCGGGAGGAGACCGTGATTTCTTTTTTTTTCTTTTTAAATTTTTTTTTTTTCTTGAGGAATTTGGCTTGAGAGACTCTGGGCCTGTTTCTGCAGAGACGCTGAGCATCCAAAACTCCCCTTGACTCTGAAAAGGTGCAAAAATGAGCTGCAAAGTGGCTCAGACTGAGGATGCTAAATTAGGGACCGGGGAGGGGGAGAGTCCAACCGTCTATGTTAGATTGCATCGGGCCACCTAACGTAGGAGGTCTGGTTCCTCTCCTCCTCCCGTGGCCATGCCTGCCTCTTTCCAAGGCTGGGATGGAGGACTGAAGCTTTCTGGTCTGTGGAGGCGCTCCTGGGTTGGCACCCGGAGGAGACGGCGCCTGTATTTTAATTTAATCCCTTGTGCCGTGGTTTTGGAGAGACAGAAAATGGTGATTACAGCGTGGGGTGTCTTCTAACACCCAACCCCATCCCTGAGCCTGTGAGCAACCCTTTAATATCTTCCAAAATCTCTGCTAAAGGCAATGGGGTGAGGCTCATGCAGTGGCTGAGCACCGCCGAGTGATTAGGGCTGCTAGGAAAAAAAATATCTGTACGGGGCAATGTGTTTTATTGGGAAAACTCATCTCTGCAGTGGTGCTTTGTGTCAAAGTCCTTCAGGTTTGAGCACTGAGCTCTACAAAGAAAAGGATCTCTAGATTGGTGTTGTGAGAGTGTAGCACGTGGGTGTATAAATATGGGCATATTTGTGCATAAATACACAGAAGGAGAGAAAAAGACAGAGGAGGAGGAGGTATTTCAGGAAGGGCCGTGCTTTGTTATCTGATAATTCCTGGGTCAGCCCTTGAAATTGCTGCCAAAGTCTTGTAGCTTTTCCAGAGCTTGCAACGCACTTAGGGCCGGGCCCAAGCGACCGAGATGCGGATCTGGCCTTGGAAGTGGGAGCATCCCAAGGGGCTGGTGGCATCTGGCTCCGCACATTCTTCTGCAAACTGGCAGCTTTGTAGCATCTCTGCTCTGGATCCCAAATCCCTGGCTTGGGCCCGTCACGGCTGTTTCTGTGACTGTGCAGGTGAAGCCAAGCAGAAGTTGAAGGGTTTTGTTTGCAATGCAAGTGCTGTGCCACACCAGCTGAGGTTTTCCAGGTTTTTTGGGTTTTTTGGTTTGTGTTTTGTTTTTTTTTTTTTGTAATGGATGGATTTTAAGTTCCTCGAAGCGTGCTGGCTTTGGGTCTCAGGGTGGTGGCAAGAAGCATCTCCATGCTTTGGAGCCAGGGTGGGTTTATCTCCAGCTCTACATCCGTGGAGGGGGTCTCAGTGGTTTCTTCTGTCAGCGGGAACTGGTCAGCGTGCCGCTAGGGCGAAAGGGGCTGAGGGGCCAGGAGAGGAGGACTCAGCCCAAACCATTTTGTTTTGCACCCAAAAAAAGGCTGTGGCAGCGTTCAGCCTCCTCCATGTCCAGCGCATCCCTCGGTCCCTCCCCATCAGGGACCGGCTGCTGCCCCTCACCAGGAGCCCCAGTGGGGGGGGTCCTCCCCCCATGCACC